AGAATTCAGGGCTCACCAGTGAGTCTGATCCAGCTGTAACTAATGATCATCTTCATCATTGATTCATCTGCTGATTCATTTATTGCTTTGTGTTTAAAATAATCAGGAAGTGTGAATAAATGCCCCAATCTTTTTCACTTAAGTCTAAAGTTGTTAAACTAACAGTCGACAACCCACAGATTCTGTTCAAATCCTCCCAACTGAGAGACTGGAACCAGTGAAAGCTTGAGACTGGTGCTTCAAAAAATGATTTAAATGAATAAACATATAAAAATAGTTGCTGATTAATTTCCTGTTGACAAGCTAATCAATGAATCACCTCATTGTTTCAGCTCTGGTCTCCTCCACAGATAAAAACACTTTATATGCAGCAACACTAAATAGTGTTGTAAAAGTGTCAGTAAAGAGTTTCAGTGCAATGTAAAGGGCAAAATACTGTTAGAGGCTGTGATGAGTACATCTCACAGGTAAAAAAAGGTGAAATATTGTGAATTAAATGGTCACATATTGTAAAATATTAGTGGTATTACTGAGGTAACAGGATCCCATCTACTGATGATTTGCTCCTCTAACATCTGAAGCTGTTGGATCAACTCCAGCTGTGATCTGCTCACCAGAAGATATGGCTGAGCAGCAGGGCGGCGTAGTCCCTCAGAGTCCAGTGGTCGTTGAGCGGGTTGATGGAGGCGGCGAGCGGCTCCAGGATGCAGTACATGACGCTGGAGACCAGGCTGCGGACGTACGAGCCCAGGTACAGGTAGGGGTTCTGGACCAGGCTCTTCACCATGTGGAGGAGCCTGTTGAGCTGCTCCAGGTCGTGGCTCACTGACTTCACCTGGACAGACACACCCACAAGATCAACACAGGGAGAAACAGAAAAACACTCACACACACTAGCAGTATTTTACCTAAAAAGTTTTTTTTTATTTTTTTTTTTATTTTAGACGGTGGCCTCAAAAGACGAAGGATACATCTACAAGACAAGCAGCAGTTTGATCTGTGACCTCTTCTACAAACCTTTTGTCATGCAGCTGCTGAATGCCATGATGTACATGGATAAATAAGAGCGGCATGTTTGTATGTTATGTTAAAAGAATTCATGTCTAAATTTATAGAAATATGCAAGAGTTGATGTTTTTTTTGCTGTCGTTTTTTTAAATAAAATAAAAAATTTGATCACATTAAAAGGTCTCTTCTTAGCTTTTCCTGGTTTTACGTTCCCTTGAAGTGTTTCTTGTCTCTTAAAATGACTCTATTGGTTTTTATACACCTGATTGTTTTAATTGTTTTATCCGTTTTCTTCTCTTTGAAACCTGTTGATTTTATGTCTTGTCTATCTTATTTTCCCGCCTTTGTCAAACACTTTGTAACGTGGATTTTGAAAAGTGCTCTATAAATAAAGATTACCATTATCGTCAGCAGCAGCAGCAGATACACTGAGCTGACAGATCAGGACCGGTATAAAAAGTTGGACTGGTGCATCTGGAAAACTCACCCCACTGATGACATAAACAAAATACGGCAGCAGGGCGGCGATCTTGGAGTTGGACTGGAGGTCCAGCAGAGCCACCTGAAACACACACAAGACAAAAGTTTGAGTAACACACTGTTTATCCACACAGGATGTGAGGCTGTGTTCAGCAGCAAGTTACCTTCATCAGGTGGGGGTCCTCTCCCAGGATGGCCCGTGTGATCTGCTGGTAGTACTTCAACAGGTCGTCTGACAGAGACTGCACTGCGGTGGGAACTGAGGCAGGTCAACAGTGAGGTCAGAACCAGCAGAGCGACACCGATACACTCATCAGAGGCAGAAATCATTAAAGGAACAGTTCAATATTTGGTTGGTCAATATGTTTATCAGCTTTCTTTTCCTACGTTACAGCTCGCGTTTCACTTTCTTCATAACTACAGCAACTGTAGCTGCTGCTGACAAGCTGTTCAGGCTGTGTGGACAAGTGTATAGTCACAGTGTGGTAGAGCCTTACCGGTCCCCTGAGGCTCCAGGTTGCCTTTCCCATCCAGATACGACACATTCACTGATGTGAAGAGAAGACAGGAGAAATAACTTCTAAGCAATATAAACCTTCTGATCCAAAGACCAGGGATATGGACTTGTGTCTGTAGTTTGTAACGGCGCAGCGGGTCGTACCTCGTACCATGGTCTCAGCACAGCCTTTGGGAATGTTGGTGGCCAGAGCCAATTCGACCAGGTTGATGTCCCGATCCTCGATGAAGAACAGCTCTCCTTCCTTCACTGAACGGAAAGGCAGAGCATCCTGGGCCCCGTAGCCACAAACTGCCTGCTCAACATACAGACATGAAACAGTTTGAAGGCAGAGAAAACTGCAGCCTGTTCATGTTAGGTCAGTCTGACTGTGCTGACTTGCTGCTGACTGGAGGGTGTTACTGTGAACATGGCAACTCTAACCTCCACATTGCTCCAGTGCAGAGCTCTGTTGAAGTCCTCCACCGTCAGCTTCCTCCTCTTGGCGTGTCTCATGAACTGTGAGCTGCTCTGTGTGGCACAAAACAACACAATGACAACATGACATCAGTGTTGTTGGTCAGGGGTCTCCAACATGTGGCTCGCGAATTCCGGTAGCTCCCCCGTTTCAGACTAACACACCCAAAGGTTCAGAGAATATTGCCTGTACATTTTTGTGAACACCTGACAATGCACACTATCCATGCAGCGAGGCGGCACTGACCTGTGTCGCCTCCCGAAGCCGGTAACAAACGTCCTCGGCCAGCAGACCCGCCACATCGTCGCCGAGCTCCACGCCTGTACTCTCGGCCATGAATTTGACAGACTCTCGGGAGATCTCGGCGAAGCGGCGCTCCTCCCGGTCCGCCATGCTCAGCGACCACTGAAAACTGACCAGGAAAAACACCGTACGTTGATACTCTTGACAGTTTCTAATTACTTTTACATCGTCTAAGACCAGACTAGCAAACTCCGTACTGGACTTCCAGAAGATAGCTGGCTCCATACGACTACACTCCTACAGCTGCTCTAGATTTCATCCAAACTGAGTCGAGGATCAGCTGAATCCCAAATTTAAATATCTTGACTTCTGATGTATCCGTGTACCGTTACATATTAATGACGGCCATTAGCACATTTTCAATAGACACACTTTCCCTCTCCGGGACCATACTCTTTGTATAGCATGCTAGCACAATGAAGTCTGGGCTCTGTCTATCGCCTGGAATAGACCATTTAAAAGTATAGTGGAAGTTGACTAACCATGACGTAAGGACCACTAACACTGTTTGGTATATAAATATCTGTTGTATGATTTAGATGAAAGTAAATCAGTGGGAAACAACTCAATTAGGTATGGCCCATCACCGGTTGTAGCTAGCAACAGTCACCTAACGTGAAGATGCTACGCTAATAAATAGTCTAAAAACTGCAGAGAAAATGCGATGCAATTTAATATTTGAATTAAACTTTACCTTCTTAGCGAGGACGGCTAAAGGCTCAACACCGTTCAGTCAGAATGAAAGTTTACATCGGCGGAGCTGCTTCTCTACACACGGTGCCAAGTTAGCATGTTAGCAAACATGAGAAAGCAACACATCCGTCGGACTCTTCAAATTAAGGCAACAGTATAGTGAAAAATAAAATATGGTGAGGTGGACAAATCCGATATTTATTTTTAATATTAATTTAAGTGAAATTAGTTCGAGTAAAACCGCACCACATCCACTTTAACTCCGGCTAACGACGCTATATGTTGACATTTTCCCATATACTACTACTAGCGGTGACGCACCAGGAGGAGAAGGCGAATGATTGGTCGGCGGGAGAGCATTAGACTTAGGGTGCACTCCAAATATTCGCCCGCACAGTTGTGCCGGCTTGGTACACAGAGGGTGAGTTGGTTTCTGGGCCCTATGAACAGTATTCAGTGCTACAGTTAAGTCAGTGGTGTTAAATGTGATCCATACTGCGATATCAGATTATCCATTGTACATCAGCGCAATGTGTCGCCTCCATTCGAGAGAGTTTGCCCGCCCTTTCCACTATGTAACAAGCGGCACGTCGGCATGACTAAATTAAGTGCACTGATCAGTTTGTTAAACACAGGCGGTCCGCCCTCTTGGATGGAGGGATGTATGATTTACATGCAACGGCACCCAAGAATTAAAAAGGGAAATGTTTATCACTGCTGGTCAGTCTAGTGGAAAATGATTAAAATAGTGATCAACTGGAATCTCTCATTTCAAGACGATCATTAATGCGCTGCAACAATAGCCTCAACACCTCTTGGTTCAGGCTAAAATCTAGATGTTGAATTTTGCTGTTCAGCCTTAGATCACAGGCCATGTTCCAGTTCTGACCAAGGGCTGTGCAGACCAGTCAAGTTCTTCCACACCACACTGGGAAAACACTAAGGGAGCTGGACTTTGTCATATTGAAACAGGAGAGGGACACAGCACAGTATTAAAACCTCACTGTAAGTACAGAGTCCATTTTGCTGCTAGTTGCCCCAGTTATCTTGGTTTTCACCTTTGTCGTTAAAAGTCTTGTTGCCTCAACCTCCAACAACAGCACTGTCACCTTGTTGCACAAGCAGATGTCAAGTATAAAACAGTGCTGAAAACCTACAAAGCTGACTTGCATTAAAAACACAAGAGGGTTAGAGATTAAAATTGTTTATTCATGATGCTGATGTCAGACATCTCTTTACTAAGTTTATTAATAAAGTATGTACAATAGTTTAAAAAAAAAAAAATAAAAAAATTACACTCATAGCTGAACCTGGAGGCATTGACAAGGTCCAGAAATAGAGATGTCTGAAGTAGAACTGAACAGTTCAAGGCCTGCTTGACCTGCTGACAGACAGTCAAACAACTGCAAATTTAAAAAAAAATTTGAAATAAAAATAAAATGTCCTTGGGAAGGAAAGGTTATAAAAAAAAATAAAAATAAAATATTTAATTGAGCTGTGCTGTTCAGTGCTGATGCTGGTTCAGACTACAACCACATGCAGTTAGACCGCCCTGTTGTCCCAGATCTCCTGGGCCTTGCTGCTCTCCAGCTGCTGCAGGTGGAGGGCCAGCGGCAGCAGCAGGTCACTCAGGTGCTGGCTGGAGAAGGTGAAGGCATTGTGGGCCGTGACCTCTGCAGGCGGGGTGGCCAGAGGAGAGGTAGATGGAGGAGAGGAGGAGGTTGAAGAGTTCGACGAGGTTGAGGTGAAGGGGGAGGTGGGGGAAGGTAAACCTGAACTGCTGAGAGATGGCTGAGGGCGGAGGGCTCTTCCTTGATGCTGGTCTGGCGTTTTGATCTTGCTGGGGAGGCCGTGCTGGAAGCGACAGCGTGTGCCGTAAAGGCAAAACCCGAAGGAGCTGAAGGTGCGGCACAGAGCTCCTCGAGGCCTCCACTCCTTGGTCTGTGGTTGGAGCTGGTGGCTGAGATTGGATGGAGTCTTTTCCTCGCCAACGTCGGGAGACTCCAGACTGCCGTTAATGTCTCCACCCTCGACGTGCAGGAAGTTACAGCGAGTACCAAAGGGACAAACGCCAAAGGAGCGGAAGGTGCGGCAGGGGATGTTCCTGCGGCGGCGTAGGGCAGGCCGCTGCTCAGTGGGGCTGTGGACAAACAGGCAGCGGCTGCCATAGTAACAGTAGCCAGTCGTGTGATAGCTACGACACAACTCCGTCTTGTACTTTGGGTGGCGGAAGGGAACGTGGAGCTCGTTGAGGCCGTGGGCGAACTGGCAGCGCTCTGCGTACTTGCAGAACCCAGTAGCGGAGTAGCTGGTGCAGAGCTCCGTCTTGTAGCGGGTGGAGCAGACCCAGGGGATGAGGGGAGGGGAGGAGGACTCTACCAGGGGAAGGAGGGCCTTAGCCAGGGAGAGGCTGCATCCTCCTACACCACTGCTATCGCCATCCAAATCCTCAGTGGACAGCAGGTTGTCAACCAGCTCCTCATCTTGGCAGGAAGGCAGGAACAAGTCGTCACTACTGGTCTGAAAAAATAAAGTTTCAGATTTCAGTAAAGCCCTGCCTCGTCACCTGACAAGGCTTCTTTAACTTGTTGCAGTGATTTCAGCTCAATGGGTTTCTGGTGCTCATTTTACAGCCTTCATCCACAGCTGAAGTTGAGATTTAGTCATTGTATATATGACCCTTAAAAAGGTTACACAATGGAACAAAAAAATGCCTGCCAACAATCCCACAATGCATTACGTCACAGCACTTGCTGTGTTCCACATTTTAAGGTAAAGATATCTCCTAGAGTTCAAACTGCCTGCAGGGCTTTTGGTAAGTTTATCCATTACATCAATTTTCACTTTAAAATACAATTAATTTTGTGGTGTCACAGATAATGATTCATAATCAAAATAGCTATGGATTTGAAAATAAAATCCAAGCAAAATAAAATGCATGAAGTGTTTTGTCAGAAGATTTTAAAACCTAGATGGTCGAGTTATAATTATATAAAACTGAATGCGTCACATTTTTACAATGGTAACCAAGAAGAAAAAAACCGTAAGTATCAACCTAATCAATTCATCGAATCGTTTAAAATATGACAAGTGTGACTGGATTGACCTACACTCTCACTTGTCTAAAACAGGTGTAATGTTACCTGTAACAACACTGACAGTGAACAGGAACTAGCTACAGGACGTTGTGAAAAGCAGTTTAAGTAAAGAGCATCGTCTGCTGAATGAAGTAAAACCGGTCCTCTCACCTCGAACATGGCCGCCGGCAGGTGAACAGCTGCTTGTTGTGACTTCAGCCCCGGCGGGAAACAGTCTGTAGACCGCTCTGACAACCAGAGGACCCGCTGAGCTACAGTAAAACCGTGTGTTTGTGAAGCGGCAGGGACCCTAACACTCCCGCTCTGTTATGGAGTCACAAGCGACGCAACGGTTGTCTGCGTTTGTCTTTTAAACCGGTTCTTAGCTCCCGCCTTCAGGATCAATGAGCATCAGGTGTGCTCGAGCTGACGTCAGAGGGGCGTCTGGGGCATCCAATCAGATTAGCAGCTGGCTTACATCTGTGTGCTGGTGCGTTCATGCATTTGTATACAGTTAGTGTAAAGTATTTACTGTCAGTCCTTTGGTCCTTTCGAAATACGTGTGTTCATTATTTTTGTTTCATCGTCCTTATTTTTATGTGGCATTTATTTCCTTTTATTGTATTCATATTATTTGTATGTATTGTTCATATTTTACTATGTAAAAATGAATAAATAAGCTATGATTGTTTCCTCCAATTTCAATGTTTAATTGTTTTAATAAGATAAAATGGAAAATGTTTTGTATAATAAAGCATTTGAAAAGAAACGATTTACTGTTAGTCATGATAAAAGGGGTAAATGTGCTGTAAAATGTACTATACTGTAAAAACTAAGCATGGATGTATTATAAGACCTAATAAGGTCACAAGGCCACTGTTTGAACCCACCTCTGCTGTGTGTGTCTGCCTACAGATAGATAGATAGATAGATAGATAGATAGATAGATAGATAGATAGATACTTTATTTATTCTCTAGGGGAAATTCATGTGTCCATTAGCTCATTGATGATGATAATAATAATAACAATAATAATAACAATAACATTTAATAATAAATAAACAACAATAATTAGATTAGTCCACTTCCTGTGGCTGAGGTGTTGTATAGCCTGATGGCAGTGGGAACAAAGGATCTCCTGAACCTCTCTGAAAACATGTGCAGCATTTCACTGCAGACGTCAAAGGACCTGAGCCTCCTGAGGAAAAAGAGCCAGCTCTGCCCCTTCAGGTAGATGGCATCCATGTTCAGGGACCAGTCCAGTTTACTGTCCAGGTGAACACCTAGGTATTTATAAGTGTGTACCACCTCAATGTCCTTCCCTCGAATGTTGACTGACCCTGAAAGTCCATGACCGTCTCCTTGGTCTTGGAGGTGTTCAGAAGGAGGCAGTTCTTGTTGCTCCATTCACTGAAGGCCATCGTCAGATCCCTGTACTCCTCTTCCTGCCTGCTCCTGATACGCGCCACAATAGCTGTGTCATCCGAGTATTTCTGGATGTGGCAGGACTCAGAGTTGCATTTAAAGCCCACTGTATAACGGGCGGTAAACAGCAAACAACATCGATTATTGATCGAGGCCAAACCAATGGATTTAACATGAACAAGACTTGATTCTCACGCCAGGGCGATGCCCTCCCTCAGACAGGAAGTACAGAGTAGCGGTGGCTTTGTATCAGGGCGGAGTGAACAGTACAAATTTAAGGTGTATGTAGTCTGAAAACATCATAATGTAAGCAAGCAGTATACAATATACTAAATATTATATTTTATTTATTTATTTAAAATTTTCCTTTGGTTGTTTTAAACATCTGCTAATTCTGATGAACTATTTACTATGATGATGCCTGATGCCTGTTCATATGTAAAATGTTGCTATACACACACAACTCACAACAAAAACTGTCTCCAGCAGACATCACTTCGCCTGGTCCTTTATCTCAGAAGCTCTAATACTGTTTTTGAGACTATTGATTCAGCCAACTGTAATAGTTTACATATCGTGCTGATGTCGAATTTTGAAATTACAGATAAAAACACTGCTTTAATTCCAGGCTTCATAAGGGCCCTCTATATGTTGGGGCCCTGGTAAGCTCCACTATAAACTACTACGGCATAATTATTTTATATAATTAAAACCCTCAGAGGTCATATTAAAATAAATACTAAAGTCTCAAGAAAAAAGAAGAGATTTCAACAAACACCAGCCATCTGTAACACATCTGTAAAACACTGTTGGAGGAAAAAAGGTCCAGGTCCAGGCCAGAGACTAAGTCTAGACCAAACAAGTCACATTTTATTGTTTAAAACAAATACTTAAAGACTGTATTTCTAAAGCTGATCTCAAGTCTGTCGTTGATTTAGAGATTTTGACAACCAACTATAACAGATGTGTCTAATACAATTCATACATGCTCCTACTGTCACAACAAATTTAAAAAGTAAATAACATAAATAATACACTTTAACATTTTAGGAAATAATAGCATCACAATTTGTCTTTAAGCTAAAACGTGCATTTCAGAAGGAAAAACTAATATTTTTGTGGTTTTAAAAACAGTTTAAAAACAGAAATAACAAGAAAATATAGCTCAATACATTCACAACAGCTTCAAATGAGGAATTGGTCATTCTGGGTTTGAGTGCTACAGGTTCAATGCCCAGAACTATATCTGTGAATTTGAACTAACTGAGGCCAGATGTCCGCTCACATGGGGAGCGGTTCCTTCTCAGTGCTGGTTTTTATCAGGACCTCAAACTTGGTCTTGACCTGTGGGTTGATATGAGACACAAGTAAATTCAAACAAATCTGTCACAACATAAAAATCATAACACACAAAACAAAAGAAGCAGACATACCGTCCTCTGTCACAATGAATGAACTCTGTCGCTGCACATAGTAGACACACTAGACCTGCAAATATTAGAACTGCAACGTTTGCAAGTCCAAAAGCAATTCTAACTTGTCTCCAATACTCTGATCTGACTGCTTCCTTCACTGGATCTCCTGCGGTGTCGTCTGTACCTGCAAAAAGACAGAAAACCAATGTTTGTATCTGACATCTGCTGCATCGACTCATTGGTGTTCAACCACCACATCGAGAACATTTACACAGAAAAGAGATATAACATTCCTCTAAATAAAAATCTATCCACCCAATTTGTAAACCCCTGATTGGAGGAAAGAGGAGGGGAAGGGCCCCTGCCAGACCGCCCCAGCTGTCTGCTGCATGGGCCCCCGATTGCAGGGGGCCCATGCTGGGTGTTTGGGCTGGGGCCCCCTTACCTGCACCCCTGGCGTTTTGGTGCGGCCCCTCCCCCACCCTTACTACATGAATATTATAATTATCATCCTGATTATGTTATCATAAATTCATAATCATAATTTATATCATAATATTCATATTATTATTGTATTTTATTATGTTACATTATTATTATTGTTACTATTATTATACAGTCTGTACATATGTGTACATGTACGTTGCCACTATTACCACATAATTATTATTATTATTATTATTGTATACGATCAACTCTCATTAGAACAGCCTATCATGCATGCACACACACACACACACACACACACACACACACACACACACACACACACACACAAGAATATTTACACGGGTTCGGCAAGTTGAGAAGAACAAGAATCACTTGGACGAAGTGAAATTAGCTGCATTGGATTCATATTGAATTTTGTGTGTCATGAAAAGTTCCTGCTCCTCAGTTTTTCACTATGTCTGCAAAATGAATAGATAAATAAATAAACTGAGCTGCACCATAATCAAATTACTACTGCAACATGTTGGCCCACCTTCAGTTAGCTTTGGTGAGGTCAGGGAAACATCACCGCTCTCTCCATGTGAGGTCTGAGTCACGCTCAAGACCAAATGCTCTGTGGGTGTAAAGGAAGACAGTCTTATGTGTATATCAGTGCAGTGCAGCGGGACCAGACTCAGTCGGTCCGAGGTGTGATGACGTACCAGAGGCCTCCACCGACCAGCGCTTCCTGGCGCTGTCATAATTAGCAGCCAGATAACACCAGTAGTTTCCTGAGTCTTGAGCTGTGACTCTGGACACGTGAAGCGTGACTCGTCCCTCTCTGAGAGCGTCTCTGTCACAATGAGCCCGTCCTGCAAACTGCTGATGCTGAGACTCTGGATCCTCGACACCGTCTATCGTCTGATACAAAACCTTAAGAGGCTTCGACAGGAGAAAACAGACGAGGTTGGCGAGGGACAGGTCGGCTTTGGTCTGAATGTCCCATCTGATGATGATGTTGTCGTGCTCCTCTGCCTGACAGAGGTTCAGAGGCATCTTAACTCCAAACACCCCTGTAGAGGAGAGCAAGACATGATGAGGGGTTCACTGACATCAGTTTCAGTCTGAAACAGGAACTGACTGTTCATGTAGAAATATTTCACAACAAAGAGGCTCTGCTCGTTATATCTGAGCAGTAATATGATTTACTCTCAGTTTCAAAGTGCCGCAGTCTGAGCTGATTTAGATTTCACAGCGTGTGCTTGTCATGTTTACAAAGGCTCAAATTTACAGGGCCTTAAACACAACACTAACCACTCCAACTGCAGCTATTAGTCAATCAATCGATAAGTTAATAGAAAGAATTATCGACTATGCTGATAATCGGTTGTTTCAGTCATTGTTAATGCAACAATGCTACACATTTGAAGATATATATAATGATATGATATATATATATAATATGGGCAGATGAGCTGCTTGTCTTTGTAATAAGACAGTTAATGAGGAGATCAGAGTGGCGAGTCCTTCAGCCTCTTTTAAATCCCTGATAAAGACATGTTTTTATAGGCGAGCTTTCTCAGAGCTCAGGGTCTGAATCTACTTCTCATTTCTTCAGTCTATTATTATATTAAATAACTCACCTGCTTCTTATTGTATTGACTAATTTAATCATTTTAGACCGTTTCATCTCAATTTACCTCATTGTTGCACTTTTCTCTTATATCTCCTCCCCAATGCTGTAAAACCTTTAAACTCTTTTAAAAATCTGTTTTGAAAAGTTAAAAACTGAGTTTTATTGTTCGTTAATCTTCTTCTCTCTTGTAAAGAACTTTGTAACTGTGTTCTGAAGGTACTATATGAGCAAAGTTTATCATTATTATTATTATTATTATTATCATTGTTTGGTTTTGGGCTGTTGGTTGAACAAAACAAGAAGTTAAAGAAGGTCCAGTTTGGGCTCCTTGATAATGAAACACTTGTGGGTTGCAGCACTACTCACCACAGACAGAGGAGCTCAGGCCGACGAGCAGAAGGATCCAGATCATCTGCTCCCTGTGAGAAAAAAAAAACTCTTTCTCTGTGTCATTTAACCTGTTACCTAATCAACAGCTGTGCACATCCTGCAGGAGATTTTCAGATTAAGATAAAAGTAATTTAAAATAGACCTGAGAGGCTGTCAGGGGACCCGGACCTTTCAGCTGCTTCATTACAAACAGGCTAAATGTTTTCCTTCTTCTCGTGCCTGTCACGTGTTGTTTTGTCGGTAAAGTGAAAGTAAACGCTCAGTAGAACTAGAGCTGAACGTGTCCGTGATCTGAAGATCTGTCTGGCCTGAACGTGTGAGCTGAGCTCAGCTGATAAGAAAGTTCTGTCCTTAATCCAAAGATGCATTTTCTTTGAAATGAGTTATATTAATATTATATTTACAATTGAATGACTCTCTCTCCTTTTCCACAAGATGAGGAGCAGACTTCTTACTGCATGTGGCTCATACAGACATGAACATTATTCATGAAGTAAATCAGCCACAGACCTGTTTCTTAATAATGTCAGGCATCCTTTTATTATGAAAAGTACACACAAGCACATAGGTCTCAGCTGCTGCCTGGCATCTGTAACACAAGACATCCAGGAGGGAGAACAGGTGTCTGTTGCTGGCAGTGAGGACGGCACACCTGAGGCTGGTCGGGCCTGGGGGAGGCAGGACAAGAGAGCTTTCCCTCTGCGTCTCAGAGGGGGAGACATCAGGTGTGATGTAGACACAGTGATGTGGCCTCGTACAGATGAGAGACTGGATACAACAAATAAATATATAAACAGCTTCCTGAGGTTGTCACCTGCAATGCTTTTCAATCAACATGTGTGCCTCACCAAAAGTTAATTAGTGGAATTTCTTGCCTTCTGAATGTGTTTGAGGCCATCAGTTGTGTTGTGTCATGGTAGTGTTAGTAAACAGTGAATAGCCCTATTGGACAACGGTACTGATCCAACTGCTCAGCAAAGTAAAGAGAAACAACAGCCCATCCTTTACTGTAAGACATGAAGCTCAGTCAGAACTTTGAATGAATCTTCAAGTGCAGTTGTAAAAACCATTAAACGCACTGATGAAGCTGGTTCTCACCAGGACCGCCCCAGGAAAGATGAATGATGATTGAATTGGTGATTTGATGGGCTTCTTTGTCTGAGCCCCCCCCCGGATCTGACGATACATGAACTTCCATTAGAAACCACCCACAGCTTGATTAAATATTGTTAAACCCACATTTTTGAGCCAATTATCGTCAGGACTGGTCAGTTAGTATATTATGTCGGTCTTAATTTTTTGGTCACCGATCAGTCTAATACAAGACAGAAACATTAGACACCTTAACCACAGGCTAACTCAGGCATAAGATCACTGTTACCATGGTAACAATCAATGACACCTGCGCTGACCAGCAGCTCCCAACAGCAAAAAACCGGGAAACATGGCTCATAATATGTGGTTTGCTAACATTGTTATGGAGTTTTTTAGAGACTGCAGCCATTTTTTTTTTCCAAATTAGATTTTCTTTTTACTGTTTCACTCTTCAAATAAAACGTCCTTGTAACTTATGAATTCTTCCAAAAGACTGGGGGAAACAGAGCTGAGAGGTTGGATGCTGTTTCTTATTTGTCCATTTGTTTTTATTATGAAGAAAGTCTTAATTTACCCAGAATTCATTGTACCACAGTCCGGTTTAAGACACTAAATTGCTTTGTGCAACAGATGGATTTAGACCTATTTAAGACACAGTCAAAGTCTGTCAAGGTGGAACAGCCCCAGGTGAAACCCCTGGCCCACAGCTGTCACATTCACAGGGAGGCAGAGCCCCCTCTCTACATGTAAGATCAGACTTCAAACTGTCCTCTGATAAAGCTTATAGTTATACTGCTATAGGCCTAGACTGCTGGGAGAACTCCCATGATATTAACAGTAAAACCCATTGGTAATGGTGTTATGATTCACTAAAATAAACAAAAACCAGGTCTTTATCAACAAACACAGATATACACGCCCCCCCCCCCCAATTATTAAACTTTCTCTTAGAATAAAGCAGATGTACAAGACTTCCGTCTAAAATTAGCAGAATTAATTAATTTAGGAAATAGTTAGTACTCAGACCTGGAGAGGACATGGACTCTGGTCAACACAGTCAAGAAAAACCTCTCATTGACCACAAAGAAAAAAAAATTCTTTATTTCTTTTCTTATCAAGATACATTAAAGGATACAGAGACATTGGAATAAAAAACACTTGAGAAAAACTTTCAATTGTAGCATGTTTGTCTCTCCACCATACAAAAATCAGCACCCCTCCCTTTTCAATGTCGCCCCTGGTTCAAACAACCAGCCCACCCCCACCCCAATGAAGGAGAGCAATGTTTCACATGTACAGTAGCCTGTTAGAGCCATCTCCACAGTCATGGAGCAGAATTACACATTTTAGATGTAAAAAAGTTCCAATATGCCAGTTTCACTTTACACAGATTAGTATTTGCTACAAATTCAACACTTCAATTTCTTTCTTTTTTTTGAGAAATATTACAAAGCCCACATTGGGACCAGACTTGCTTATAAACCCAGTGTAACCTCTCACTGCTGTGGCTGAGGGACACAGGAATTATAATTATCCAATTAACAACTTCCTTTAAGTACTTACCCTTTCATAATGGTATAAACAGGGGGAACTAAAACAAACAAAGCAAATGAAAGCACATGTCGAGACAGCTAGATTCCTTTCACATGGTCAACCAATCAGAAACGTCGCTTCTCTTCTGCATCATCAACATTTACAGAAGAGAGTTAAGGCCATGTGAAAAAAAAAGTTCTGAATGAATCAACATTTGGAGAAAAACTTAAACCTCAGACTCTTTCATTTTTTTTTTAATTTCAGAACTCATTTTTGGCCCTAATTGTCTTCCGTACATTTACATATTGCTGCTTCATTAACAGACTTTCATCGACTGAGCAGTGACATAACCGCGTCAGCTTCATTCAGACCAAACAAACACTACACTGTCAGAGATGCTGGGACTTGAGTCTAACATCACCTCAGGGCTTTTCCACATTATGGCTTCACACAGTTTGGACTTGTGCAGATTCATAGTCACCTCAAAGCCAAACGTGTTCTCTCATCACCGCCAGTAACTCCACGGGTAACCACAGTCATTTGAATGTCATCAAACACAACATGGTCCTTCCTACACTGTGAACCTACAGACCCCCCCCCCCCCCCCTCTGGCTCCAGACTGTTCAGACTCGTCGGGGTTCGGGTGAAGGTGACTGTGGCGTTCAAGCGACAGGAAATGCATTAAAAAACCCACTGTGATGCGTCATGAAGGAGGACGCGGTGTGGAAGTTTAATAGTCACAAAACTATCAAGTGAGCACAAAACAAATCTGAACTGTGAAGTCATGATCAACCTCTGGAGTCAGTAAACGCACCATAATCCTGACTTTAAACATCTCACTGTTCGACATTTTTCACTTGTTTGACGACAGTTAATCATTTTCAAGATTCAGTTGAGGCTAAAGAGACAATAAGGCCTTTTGAATGCAGGAAAATAACCTGATCAGAACTGAAATGATTAATCTATTGATCAATTACAAAATAAATCTGAACATTATGACTTATTATTCATTTAAAGGTGATGTATGCGAGTTTTCTCTGCTGCCAAAAGTGTTTTTTTGTGGTAGAGGTGACGGTTAGAATACAGACTGGATGCTACAGTGCTTCACTATCTCAAAGTTCCCCTTATAAGACGGGATTGGCCTGGGCTAGCTAGTTAGCATGCTAACTTTAGTAGAGGAAAATAAGTGGTAGAAACAGAAGACATTACTTAGATCTAACAGTCCAGTCTCTCACCGACTCAGAACATGGAGCACACTCTGCGTTTAATCCTGTTCTGTACTCACATCTGTCCCAAACCTCGACTTCCACACCTCTCGAGTTGTTTTGTGCTCACTCCCTATTTCTGACACTGAGGAACTTCCATACGATGGGGGACACAGATAGGATGAAGCTCTGTAACAGGCTCCTCACTGATGATGGGAAAGTTACAGAGTAAAATGGCGGCAGACGGATCAAACACATCAGATTCTTCCTGCCTGAACAGAGTGGAACAGCGTCTGAGTGAATCTTCACCTCAAATCAAATTAGACCGTCTACCTGCTACAGGTGTCTCATGTGGTCTCCTTCCTCCACCTCCTCACACACTGTGGGTGTCACCCCGTAAATGATGCATATATTTACACAAAGATAGCGACATGGAGGAACAGTGTGCTTTATCACCATTGTTTTAGGATGAGAAATATCTTGATTTAAATTACACATTTAAAAACAGGCGGCTTTAAAAAGGGAGAAAATGATTCAGGATCTGGAATAAAATACTACGAAGCCCAGAGTGTCAGTGTGTGATGTGTGTGTCTGCTCATTCTACATGATGGAAATGTACAGTCATTTAAGTGTATGTGTGTGTGTGTGTGTGTGTGTGTGTGTGTGTGTGTGTGTGTGTGTGTGTGTGTGTGTGTGTGTGTGTGTTGGACACATCAACTTTTGGGAAGCAACAGAGGACTAAAGAAAAATGACACTGAAAAGAGGGAAATAAAAAAACTACTGGTATGGCGAACTGTGCTGCCTGTAACTGACGGCCTGAGCACAGACCCTCCCCAACTCCCCCCCCCTGACCCCGTGTCCTGATAAAAGACCCCCCCGTCCATCATCCTCCCCTTCAGTCCTCCAGGACGATGGGTTCGCTGGTGCTGGATGGGAGCAGGGGCATGGCCAGGGAGCGGGGGGGAGGCGGCAGCTTGATCCTGACCAGGAGGTGAGGTTTCCTTGCCGCCCGGCGCATCTCTGACTGGGTCAGATGTTTCCTCAGAGCCCTGAGAGAGAGAGAGAGAGAGAGAGAGAGAGAGAGAGACATGAAGCTACACATCAACAAGGCACAGAGGAGGAGCTGCAGGAGTTTGATCACACTGGGTACTAATACCTGTCTCTGTGGTGGACAGCTCTAAGACCAGGGGTCAGATGCATAAATGATGCGTACACACAAAAACCATGCGTACACATGAAGTGGTATTCATAAACACAGGATATTCACAGGGTTTTCCAAAGTGATCCATGTTACAGTGAAGTGGAAATACTAAATCAGAGACACGTAATTTAACACAAAATAAAATAACGGACTTCACGGAGCTTCATTCGTTATCATGATTATAAGTTTTACTGTTTACACAACTATAACAATTGAACAATCATAAACAACTAATGTTTGTGCTCAATGTTTCCTTCAGCATCGTTTAATGTTCTTATTCTCCACTGTGAGTCATTCTGTAACTGTTTCATACTATTAGAATATTGACTGATCACAGTGTTGGAGCCTCATTAAGACTCTCTGGTCCCAATAAACTTTACATTAGAGTAATTGTACTAAAGTAAAGTGATGAACGTTTGTACCTGTTTCACAATCAGTGAAATTCTTTTTCTCCTCTTCCTTCTCTGTGTCTGATCACTTGTGGTGGAGACAAACTGACTGATTATTGATGGCTGATCGTGGGAGTGGAAATGAGGCTCGTGCACATGCGCCCGAGTTCTCAATGAGTGAGATTTATAAAGTGGAACCATGCGTACACATGGCTTTATAATCCTGCTGAAAAGAATGTGTGTGTATGTTTCTGGTTATGTGCAACACGTAGTTTCAGTCATGAATCTACACTGAGTTTTATGCATCTGGGATATGAGCTCAAACAGTGATGAGTTTATTTCAGCTGATTAGTTTTTATGAAGTGAACTGTTTGGATGTTAGTTGACCAGCTGTTGACCCCAGACCAGGTCAGAAGCAGCTCTCAAACAGGTGGCTCAGACTACTGTTTAGTGACGTCGCTGTTTTCACAGGTGGCAGAAATGAATTTGGTGAGTACAATGTTATTATAACTGATGATCTGGACCTGCTTTCTTTCTTTTCACCTGCATCTGTTGCTTCAAGAATGAGACAGTGAGACGTACCTGGTGTCCTTCGTAGCCACAAACACCACGGGGTTGGGAGCCTCGCCCTGGCTCACCTTCTGCCGCTTGATGACCGACTGGGAAGTGGTTCTCATACCTGAGGTGTACGGCCTCCCATTGGCTGGGTAGGGCACCCCTGAAGCCTGTGAGTCAATAAAACACCAAGACAGTTAATCACTCAAAGGCCAGAGAGGGGGAGGGAGAGAGAGCGAGAGAGAGAGAGAGAGAGAGAGAGGGAGAGAGAGAGAGAGAGAGAGAGAAAGGAGAGAAGACACATCAAAATTTCACATTTCTGTGTACTGTGTGTGTGTGTGTGTGTGTGTGTGTGTGTGTGTGTGTGTGTGTGTGTGTGAGGAGTACTGACGCTGTCAAAGCCTCTCTTTCCCAGCAGGCTCTGGCCCACTCGGGGCTGGCTGGCCTGGTTCCTGTTGATGGGGGTTGGGGGTCCTCTGGATGCCTTCAGTTTCAGAGGAGCAGAGATGGCTGCAGGGACACAACAGGAGATGATCAGAGGAAGAAGAAGCAGTTTGTGGAGAGCAGTGATGGTCACATGACGTGTTCTCACCTAAATCCTTCACAATGGCGGCCAGTGACTGTCGAGGCACCACTTTGCTCTTCAGAGGAGTTTTTGTGGCTTTGGGCAGACGGATCATACCTGAGGAAACACACACGTCCTGTCACACACCTGGTCTGTGTCATTTAAAACAGTCACTACATTATTCAAGACACAGCAGCTGAGAGCTCTGTGGGGGGTGTGTGTACATACACTCAGCCTTGACGGCGTTGGCGTTGATGGAGGCGTAGGGTCGTCGTGCCGCACGGCGAGGCTGCAGGATGTCCTCACAGACCCGCCGGGCGATGCGGGTCAGCTTGGTGGTCTGCAGGATGAACGTCTGACGGTTTTTGGCCAGCAGCTTCGCTCGACCCTCGTTGCGGGTGAACGGCGACATGCCCTGCACCTCCTGGCGTGTCATGTGACCGCGGGGGCCTGACTCCTGGTCAGAGGGGACGGAGGACACTGCTGTTAACTGATATAAAACAAGATGTAAGGCGAGGTCTGACTGTAAGAGAGGAGACTTACTGAGCCTCCTCTGGCAGCGCCCTCCAGCTGTGTGGGGGTCTTCAGGCCTCCATACTTCTTCCAGTAGATCCAGCAGGAGGCGCACAGTCTGCACTGCATGTTGGGAGGCCCCCAGGCGTACCACTGAGGAGACTGGGCCGCTGGTGAAAGGGAAAGTGTGTTCAGAGGCAGAAACTGGACTGATGAACAGACTAATGACACTTTGTCTTTTACACTGCATTAGTATCTGAAGTGACACGGTGAAGTCTGCAGCTTCAATCTGCGGTCGGCACAGAGAGGAAGTAACGACTGAACAGCGAACATGATGATATATTTATACTCTCATATACAGTTACAGTCACAACAGCACAGTGAGCACAACAAGCAATGTCTTTCTATAGGTGACAGTTGTTAACATGTGCTTCACTGCCAGGGCTCCAGAGTGCGACGTTTTCATTGCTCGCACCGGTGGACCTGACAATTAGCAGGTACCTCTGTGTGTGTCGTGTTATTTTATTCCCACCCGCCTCTACTCTGCCTCTAATTGGCTCTGACACTGATATTCTTTTTTGCACCAGTGGAAAAGGGGCTTTAGTTATATCACAGGAACTGACTTGCACCTTATTTGATCAAAACCTGAACTTATAATCTTTCAAATCTCTGATATGTGACAGCCAATAAAAATAAAAAATATAAAAGTAACAATAAAAGCAGCTCAGGATCAGAACTGTTTCCTCACAGATGGCAGTGTCTCAGATCACCTGATCACACCTGTGATTCAGTCGGTCACTTTGTTTTATATCTGAGCTTTGTTTACATCAGTTTGTGGCGATTTGCAAAGTTAAATAGAACTAGTTTTTTATTTAGAAAGATTTTGATCGATGCAGTTCTGGTGTTTTTCCTGTGTGTATATGTGTGTGTTTGTGTGAGTGTGTGTGAGTGTGCGTATATGTGTGAGTGATTGTGTGTGCGTATGTATATGTATGAGAGAGTGTGTGTGCATGCATACATATGTGTGAGTGTGTGTGTGTGTGTATATGTGTGAGCATATGTGTGAATGTGTGTGTGCATGCATGTGTGTGTGAGTGCGTGTGAGTGTGCGTGTGTGAGTGTGTGTGTGTGCATGTATATGTATGAGAGAGTGTGAGCGTGTGTGTGCATGCATGCATATGTGTGAGTGTGTGCGTGTATATGTGTGAGTGTGTGTATATGTGTGAGTGTGTGTGCGTGCGTGCATGCGTGTGTGTGAGCGTGTGTGTGAGTGTGTATTTGTGTGAGTGTGTGCGCGCCTGTGTGAGCATATGTGTGATTGAGTGGTGTTTTGCGTGCGTGTATATGTGTGTGTGTGTGTGTGTGTGTGTGTGTGTGTGTGTGTGTGTGTGTGTGTGTGTACTTACTGTGGCAGCTCTCACAGCTCAGTCCTTTCTGAAAACCTGCTGCCCCGTTCATCCCAGGCTTAGTGCCAGGAACCATGATCTGGTTGGGGTTGGGTTTGGTGCTGGTGAGGGAGGGGAGGGGAACAGACGGAGTCATTATGAGAGCAGCTCTAACTGAGCGCAGGTATCTGGTGCAGCAGCTGACAGTGATACTCACTAGGTGGGGATGTACACCTGCTTCAGTTTGCTGTCTGCCTCTGCTGCTTTTAGTCGTTTCTGACAGAAAGAAAAGATTTTGGCTTCATCAGGAACTCGAGACAAACAGACAGTCTAAATGCTTTATGGTGGTTTGAGGCTGTGGTTCTTCTACCTGTTGGATGTAGCGGTCGGTGGTCTTCCACATGTAGTAGAACTGGACCACGCTGGCTAGAGACTTCCAGGGTAACTGAGGGAGTAAACAGGATGTCTACAGTTACACTACAGTTTACAGCAGAGTTTAAAATGTGAGAATCTGACATCAGTAGTCGTAACTTACGAAGTCTTGGCGAATGTCGTTGAAGTCTTTGCCGTATTTCTCTAGAGCCTCTTCGAATAGCATGGCCTCCGAGGCGCTCCACTCCTCCATCTCGTCACGGCACAGCACGGGACCCCCCTGAGGGACCAGGGTGGACATGGCCTTGGCCAGGTCATAGTTGTTCTTCTGCAACGTGTCCATAGCGTGGAACTGGAGGCAGAGAGGAGGTACAAACAAACGTTAGAGCTGCTTCATCATCATCACCATCACCATCACCACAGAGGGACGTGATGTTAGCATTAGAGGTTTTTCATTTGATTTCACCCACACAGGAAGGACATGACCACCCAGCTCCACATACAGTAATATACCAGTCCTGTGTAGAGGGAGGGGCCTGTCAGTGTTGGGCCTCATCAGTAAAAAAAGCTCTACTACAAGGTTTCCTGTGTCAGTGTGAGGCATCTTGATTAAATATAACACCATGAACTAATCTGAAAACCAGATCACATCAGAGTCCCTTTACAGGGCGGGGTAATATAAATATAAACACTGATCATGTTACAAAAAGTCCTTGAAAAAACTGAGAAACTTTGATGTTGGTAGGTCAGTCACACCATTGAGACAAAGTTTCTAATTTTATAGAACAGACATCCTGAAAAAGGCAGGACTGGAGGAGTCGGACAAATAAACAGCATGATGTGGTTTTTGTGTCAGAAATCAAAAAGTTCATAAAGGACGGAGTAGAGAGGACAGAGGAGATAGGAGGACTCCCACTGAGGAAACTTCATCATGTCAGCACAGACAGCCTGAACGAGCTGTGGAGAGTCAGAGTCAGAGGACAGTGATGAGACACTTTGTCTTCTTAAAGTCCTGATATGAGACACAGTAGATGAGGCCGTCCCAAACAGGACAAGGCTACAAACACAGGCTTTTTCCCGCACAGAGAATGATGAAGCTACTGCCTCTAGCTCTCCACAAACTCTGACAGGTGTCTTCATGGAAAACACTGTTTTCTAACAGTGGATTTCTGTCATCTGTAACTGCAGTTACAGCGTCACGCCATGTGGCGGCACTGTGTCGTAATCAGCACAGTGCACCAGGAAAGCTGCTGCCAAAACTGCTGAAGAGGAAGGAAAGAGCCACAATTATCCTCAAGGAATTTCCTCCAAAGATCATCTCTCAGTTCTTGTGATATTTCATCACCGGTCAAACACTGAATTATTGTTGAATAGTTTTTTCGTTCGTCCCAGTTTGTTAAAAAGGTTTCTAAATAAATGTTCACATGCCAATCAGTGATGACTTAAAGGTGAGTTCACGAGGAGGAGAACCTGAGGACAGACGTCACCTGATCATTGCAGGCAGGTGAAACATAATAATTCATGTTGTGAAAAATGCACAAGGTGACGTCTAAACTGTTACAGTTTAATGTCCTTGGGGAAAATTCATCAGGATTCACTAGAACTAAAATATGTAGCTGGTAAAATGTGTTTATTTGAGCCAGTTGAAGGCTCAGCTCACAAGCACGTATTAGCACCTCCACCTCGTTTACAGCAGAAAAAATGTATGTTATAAAGTAATCTGAAAATCTGTGTCAATAAAGATGGAAACCAAGTTTAGTCCCTAAAGTCTCAATCTCAACCACCACCAACCAGACCATCTGTCAGACAAACACCTCAGCAACAAATTGTAGCGTACCATGTACCATCACTCCATGACATGTTGTTTATATCAGTTAAAAAAAACATGGTCCTGATAGAAACTGTCAAAATAACAAAATAAGCAACACAAGGTCAGAGCTCTCCGACTGTCAACATTTTACTCTGCAGGTTTTCAACCTGATACAACTGAACGTTTCAGGTTATTGTTGTATTTTGTTTTCATGTTGCTCGGCCCTGGGCATCAGATTAACTAATAATTCAGGATGTGATATTATGAAATCGACAATTAATCTAATTCTGTGCAGCAAATTAACAAAGCATGAACCTGAGGCACAGAGACACCCCTGCTGTTTGTAATCCTTCATTTAACTCTACATCATGAACTAATGTTGATGGTGAACTAATCTGACAGTTTTTATACGAGAAATGTTATTTACTGTTGTTAACTATCAAGAAATGATACAAGAAGGTTCTTGCAATATAGTATGGAAAATGGAACACACACACACACACACACACACACACACAGGCAGTCAGTAGTCTCACCAGTGTGATGTCTCTGGAGGCTGCGGCTGCACTCATGTGGAGACTGGGCTGACGGATGGAGCTGCTGCAGTCCAGGGCCCGAGCAAATGTCCCCACAGCTCTGAAACAAACACACACTGGTCACCATCACTGACCTGTTCGAACTACAGCTACAACACAACTACTGTTTCTATGGTGATGTGTACAGTGTTATTGAGGGTTCTTTAAATCACCACTAGGTGGAGTGTTTCGTTAAATGACCAATTTCTGTGCAGCAGGATGACTCTGTCCAAAAACAAACTTCCTATAGATAAACATGCTGCACCATCAAAAACCATTAATACTAAATATTCAAATGTATCTGTGTTAATGTGTTCAATGTTATATGCCCTGTACTGAACCTGAATCTGATCATTATGATCATTATTTCCAGGGCAGACCTCTGTATGAAATTAGTAACTGACTTTTTGCTGACACCTGGACATGTGGACTGGAGGAGGTGGGAATGGAACCACCGCCCTCCGATTGGTGGATGACCCGCTCCACCTCCTGACACCTGACGTCATATGAACCATGATCATTTTTTTATTTTGCCATGAGAGATGATCAAACTTGTTAATTCATGCGTCTTCTCTAGAAAAGCTGCCCTGCTGACAGCTGAGTCAGACGTCGTCATGGCAACTGGATCTAGAGATGATGAGGATGCAGCTGGGTGACAGATGGCAGGGAGGCGTTACCTTGCCACCACAAGAAACTGGTCGATCTGAGGGTCTTTGAGCTGGTTGTTGGGGTCCCACACCTTGGTCTCCAGTTTCTCGTGGACCCGGTTATCTGATTCACCTGAGACAAGGAGAAACCGGTTTCAAAATCACCTACTGGACTCTGTACTGTCTCTGGTTTTTTATGGGAGGAAGTAGTGACTGAACTCAGGAAACATTTGTTTGCTTTCTCTCTTTTAACTTTCAACCTGCTCACCCTCAGCTAGCTTGTCAGGGATCTCTGCCTGGTACTTGGAGCCCACACGGATCTCGCCCTGGTCCGCCAGCAAGGTCTTCTGGACCGGGTCGAACACCAGCGAGTAGAAGAAACAGTCCTAGACAGAACACACAACAACAAAGATCAATAACAAAGTCTTTCTCTTTGTACAGTAAAAGAGTACAAACAGAGAATAAATGGCGCCCAGAGTGATTCACTGATGAAGGATGAACAGATGGCGTCTCACCTCCTTCTCCAGGTAGCCCGCCAAGACGTCTGTTTCATTGAGGAGGGTGACATTACATTTCCCCCTGAGGAGACAATGAGGAGCAGTCAGAGACCAGGACGTCCAGGACAGAGATTATTACAGAGGCTATCCACATTTTCAGAAGGTGGACACAGATATTTCATAACACATTGTCACACATACTATGACGGAGTATTAGGGCCACATTTTTCTTCAATGTGGTCGTACATCATCCATGGTACACATACGCCTAATATTTCTGCTCATTACTAGCAAATCATTAGTTTAAAAGTTTAAAAATTCAAGTGCTATAATGTTGCCACAAGCTGCAACCTTAAAAGTGAAAAAAAAAAAACTTTGAAAACTGTGGTAGTTTAATACATCTTTGTTTTTTCCTGAAACATTTTCAGCAGAAAATTTGAAATATCTCAATATTGTTTTAGATTAAAGGCAGGGGATGGGTCACACACACACACACACACACACACACACACACACACACACACACACACACACACACACACACACACACACACACACACACACACACACACACGTTCAACCACAAGACAACTGTGGAAACTTTCTCATTTCAATAATCTGAATGTTCTGCTCAGCCTGAACTCAAGCAGCTGAACACAGCCATTAATGTGTTTGAAGCTTAATTAAGAGTGAGGGAACTTTTGGACTTTTAATTAGAGCATCCCTGAGAGCGTGTTTCATGAGGCCCAAAATATGTCGTGTTTTATGTCCCTGATTTACCAATTCATGGAAAGCTAAGGGGGAAGAAGTAAAGTAAGTAGAAAGTCTTTCAAATTTAAAAAAAAAATATGATGATTCATCTGTCATTCAGATCACATACTAATAACTTGATCATGAATCTGAAAACAATAATGAGAGTAACATGGAGCCTCAGTGCTGGTACATCTTTGGTTTGTGTTAATGGTTTTACTGGAGTCAAGGTGACGGAGTCTGTGAGACGAGATGAGACGAGAGACAGTCAGAGAAATAAGTTGGAGTCTCAGCATGTGACAGCTGCAGTAGGAGGCTACAACAGATTTAAATTCTTTTGGTATCAATTAGAAAAAATTATATCAGAACACCTCTAAATGTTATTACATGACAGAGTCTAGTCCAGTCCAGTCCAAAGTCTGACCCCCCACTGTGGAATCATCAACAGCTGAAGACAAGGGACAACAACTCCTAAAAAGGAAATAAACGTGACGACCTGTGCAGAACATCCCTGCCTTCATGGCTGCAGTGAGGGTCACTGACTGAGCAGTTCAGCTCTGACTGTGTGTGGCAGGTGTCTGGGTTCAGGTCTGTCCTGTCCTGTGGACACGTACCGTATGTGAGTCGCAGGAAGAGATTCGAACTGTCGAGACAGGAAGAGTTCTCTGTGTTTGAGCTGGTGTTTCTGTTGTTCAGCCAGGACCGGCTGCTTCGACTCCTCCTCGAATTCTCCTACAAACACAAACACAAACACATCATCGCATCAGAAACACACACATTCATGGTGGTGGTTTATGCAGAAGGTTTGAACAAAGCTATCAAATAAACCCATAATTGTGGTTCACAGCGTATTTGATTTTTTTGCCACTTTTTGCTCATATGATTCCCCCACCCCGCTGACCACTGGACCCTTAGCGCCTACAGCAGGTTTACATTAGCATATACAACTGATGTGTTCACATTTGTAGAGCTAGCCTGAGTGAAAACATCTGGTGTGGTCACGTTTCCACACATTGACACCTGGCTCTTTTTTGCTATGCTCACTTATACCCCTGTCATACAGCAGACACGTGGAGGATGTGTGTGTACAAGAAGCATTTTATCCGTGATGGACTCATTCGTACAGACAGTTTTCACACTGGGTGTCAGTTGTAAGTTGGACATGATCTGACAACATATCTAACCCTAATGAAGAGGAGCGTATCTATGGAGGGTCAGCTGTTGCATATTGACCCTTTCAGATATACCACTGACATGGGCTGTACCAGTGTCACTGTGGCAGTTTGAACAGGGTATTATTTTCTAACATACCAACAACCCACAAACAGTCTTGTACTGTGCCACCCATAGACTGTAAATAAAGATGGACGTAGCCTCTGAAGAACGGTTTTGAAGCTCAGAGTGAGCTGCTCCCCCTCCACATCTTGGCAGTGCCTGACTCCGCCCCTAACTCCCAGCTAGTTGAAAAATGTGGAAGGAATGTGTGTTGACATATGTGTGACTGGACAATGCAGATGACGATGCGCTGCATTGTGTCAAAAGTTAAAGTAGGGTCGGGCGATATATCGAATATACTCGACGTATCGTAGCTTGTTCCGTGTGGGATGTATACAGTCTCCCGCCCATTCAGAAAACTCTCCGCATGTTTGTACACACACATCATTCACGTGTCTGCAAGTGAGTTTGACAAAAAAGACCCGGGTGTCAATGTCAATTGGAGAGGAGGTGTGTGTGTGTTTGTGTAGCGGAGGGAACTGAAAAGCAAAAAAAGTTAAGCGCCAAAGCCAGTGTATACTTGTGTGGAAAGGCAGACGAATTGGTTCACACACACCGTCTGCATCACGCGGCAGCTGCACCGCTGCTACTGCAGCTCTGTGTTTCTTGCCTTGACTTTTATTTACTCTTGTTCAGAGCAAGACACACACACACAGCGAGAGCAAGGGAGAGAGAGAGAGAGAGAGAGAGAGAGAGAGAGAGAGAGAGAGAGAGAGAGAACCGGTAAAATCCTGCCCTTCGGTTAAAATATCAAATGAAATAAAATGTCTCCTGTCTTTCCATGCAGTTGCTAAAATGGTTAGAAATAAGTTATATATATATGTAAACTTTATATATATATATTTAGAAATATAAAGTGATATATTTTTTCATGTCTGTGTCATTGTCACATTAAGTCCAGACATTTAAACTATAGGCTAGTGAAAGGTGTCAGTTATATATAATGTTGCTGGTATCATATCAGTATGACTATCAACAAATGTTTCCCTGTCTGTTTTTTGCTGGGAGCGGCTCGTCACGAGTGAAAAACAGGCGAGATGCTGAATCTCTAGATCACACAAAGCATGACAGTGTGTCTCTTTATGTATCAAAGGGTTAAATTATGTATTTATGAAGTTCTATACAGAGTAGATTTCAAATTATTGCGATATATTCTGTGTATCACGATATAGCCTAAAAAATGCATACTACAATAGTAGAATATTACTTTTAGGCCATATTGCCCAACCCTAAGTTAAAGGATAGGGCAGAGGCAGGTACCTCACCCGGTAGAGTGCGTACCATGAGCTAATGCTGAGTCCGCAGTGGCCTGGGTTTGGATCCTACACTGCGAGTGTTGTCAAGACCCGCCCCGCTCTGCTTCTGATTGGCTAGTAAAGTTGGTTAGGTTCCGTGTCTGGTTAGGTTGAGAGCGAGAGCTGGGTTCCTCTCATACAATTTGTAAGTGAACTTTATTACCTTGAACATGATAAACCACATCCACAACAAATTCCCAGGTGTATTGACTTTTCATTTTTCATTTTTTCTCTCACAGCATTACACTGGAGATCCGGCACGGTGCCGGAATACTGTTCATGTCATTCCCTTTCTCTCTCTTTCTCCCCTGACTTTACTGTCCATCTCTACTGTCACTGTGGAAATAAAGAAATGCCCAAAAAAATTATCGGGTTTAAAGTTAAAGGATAACAGTGGAGATTTTCTCTATTTTTTTTTTTCAATGTCAGCAAATCCCATGCAAAGACCAAAACAACACTGAATGTATCCTGGATACAAAACCTGATCTCTCTGAGCCATAGAGCTCCACTTTTGTCCTAAAGCTAGTAAAAACATATCAATGAGCAACACAGTTACACTGGGTGACATGTTTCTTTATTACAAAAGTTTGTAGTTTGCTTCTTTGTTGTTGACGGTAAGAAAAATTAAGAGAACCGACTACGAATGAATAAGGGAGCTGCAGTTAATATTTTGTTAATCCTCTGTTCAGAGTTCAAAGGTCATCAGTTTATCAGGGCAGAGAGAATATTGGTCCTGGGTGATCCGTGGTATAAGTTCCTGACTTATGATTTTAGACTGTGTACGTGACCTACAATGCAAAGAACCACCGACTCGGTTATTAATGGACTTACTGTAAAACAATGCGACTGGCTCACATTACCATGTGACACCATGTTTCAAGCCAGTAAGAAATGTGAAAAAATTAAGCCATAGGCAGCTATGGCTATGTTTGTGTGTGTTTGTGTGTGTGTGAGAGAGCGTGTGTGTGCGTGCATATGTGTGTATGTGTGGTCGTCCACTAGATTCCGCATTCCCAATTTCAGGCGGGTGAGTAATTTGTTGCAAGCTGGAGGGGAGGGACTATATCACTCCATCTCTGTGGACTCCGCCCCTGCACTCAGCCACAGGAAACCCTGTCAGTGAGGGCATGAGAGTGAGAGGGAGAGACACAGAAAGAGAGAGAGAGAGAGATAGCAAGCGAGAGGGACGGTACCTTTAGCCACACCCCTTTTCTGTTAACCTCTCAACCCCCCTCCCCCCTCCTCCTCCTGTCCAGCTGGTCCCTGCCAGACAAAGTCGGAAACCCTGTGTACCAAACCTGAGGCGCCCATCCCCCCAAACATGTATCCCCAACTCCCTCCAAACACACACATGCACGCACGCACGCACAAAAGAAGAAACCACATATACAGAGAAGAAGCGACAGGCACTTAAAGCGCACACAGCAAAACAGTAACACACTCCTTGTACAGACAAACACACACACACACACACACACACAGACATACACACTTTATTCGCTCTGACAAAGACACAAGGCAAGTCAGAATTAACCCGTTGTATGCTGTGGCCCTCAGGGACAGATCAAGGGCCTTTTGTTCTGCACAAAGAATTGATGTGAGTGTAGAAGGAGAAGGAAGAGGAGGGGAGCAGAGATGGGAAAAAAAAAAGAGGCAGATAAAGTGAGGTTTAGTACAAATGAGCAGCAGCAGAAAGAGAGAGGCGCCTGTTCACTTCTTCATCACTGACTAAGGATCATAATGTTCTGAGACAGACCTATGGAGAGTAGACCTGAGGAGTGTTTCATAAAGCACAACTGCATTTAAACCAGGATTACTTCAGTAAATCAGGCTTATTTACAAGATACGCTGTTTCATAATAAATAAATATAAAAAAATGTATATAGTCTGACTTAAGTTAGCTTTAGCTTTATTTCCGGTTACAGTCAATCTACCACACTGAGACAGGTTTCTCCCAAGTTCCTCCCCAGCAGGCCACAGTGTGATGTAACATCAACAGACTGTGAAATGTCACTCTCTGACAGACCATAGACTGCAGTTACAGCGCAGTTATAATGTACAGACTAGACCTTTATCAATCTCAGGCATCTGACGAGTTTTACGGTCAGCTTTTCTACGGGGCTCTGCAGGTGTCATAGTGGGGGGAAAAAAGGTAATCTGAGAGCATGAAAAATCATGCTCGCAAAATGAATTATTTAAATCCAAGGATTGTTGCTTTTGGTGCATAAATTAATGGAACTTAACATGATATTGTGAAGCTTGGATGTGTTTTATATTTCAATAGTTTTTCAAAAGTATATAATTGTATTTTATGTTTGAGGTATAAACGATGCTGCCACTAAACAACAGTTCAGCAGGGCAGGCTGTGCAAAAACGCAATATTATGAAAAATAAATGGCTTGAAACATCACAATATTCAATATTATCAAATATCAGCCCAAGTGTAAATATTACTATATCGTTTAAAGGATATCAAAGATAACATAATATTTTTGCAAAATCCAAAATATGTGCTAATACTTTGAAACAGCCCTGAATTCAAACACCTCATTTACATTAGCTTATTATAGCCAATAGCTTTATTAGTTTATTTTGCACTATTCAGCAATAGATCCATAAGTGTGAAGGCTTAACATATACTACAACACTGAGACTGTGGTTTACAATATTATAAGGAAGGATTTTAAAATTCTGAGAAGGTATCATGGAGGCAGTTATTTTAATAAACAGCAGAATTATACCATTCACACTATAATCTACCAGAAATGTGAGCTTGCATGTGTTTGATCGCACTAGCTAGTTGAACTGTATTGTGGCCAAAGTTGAGATGGATTCAACTTTTTAGTTGGATAACCCTATGTTGGTTACCTTCAGGTAATATAGGCATATTAGGCATAGCAGTGGACAAATGATAAACTGTGTAATTAAAAAAAAATTATTATTAATTAGATTCACGATGTGTTCAGTAGCTGGATACAACAAAGAAGTGAATCTAAAGGGAGTGCTCAGTCTCTTTAAAAGAATAAAAGCCTCTAACAGGACACGTCAGGGCTGCTAGCAGACACAATGACAACATATTATGAAATTACCACCACTGTATTTAGTCTAATCTCTGACTTGTCTACACATTACCAGAGAACAGACACTAAGCATCCGTGTATAAAGCTGGCTACAGCTGAAAAAGCAGCATCAAAGCAGCAAAAAGCATCCATTTTGAGGTGTGTGTCTGTGTGTGTGTGTGTGTGTGTGTGTGTGTGTGTGTGTGTGTGTGTGTGTGTGTAGATGTCTTTGTCTGAAGCACTGCAGCCCAGGAGGAGGGAGGGAGAGCTGGTTATGGTGTTGGGTGGGGGTAATGATTAAATGTGATCAGGCTTCAGTAGTCTGCATGCCATTAGCACCACCCCACTACCTCCACCCTCCCACTTCCTTGGCTCTCTGATCACACACAAGACACAGACTGGGCTCAGGCTGATCAGGGTAGGGTGGGGCAGGAACCACATACTGAGACCATATTACTGATTAAGAATATTGGAAATAATAATAATAATTTGTATTTATTTATTCATCATCATCATTATTATTATAATTATTTTGTCTCTCCAAAGTGGCATGAGTGATCATTTTACCACTACAAAACCAGATTCACCAGTGTCAGACAGTAAAACCTGAGGCAAAACCTCCCACATGCTTAAAATGAGCTGAGCAGAATAAATTAAATATTGATTAAATGTGTCTGACACATTGAAATAACAGCTGTAGACTACTGACTTTGCACACCTTATTTTTCACAAGATTCTTGATCCAAATACTGGAGGCTCATATGCAGCATGTTCCAGTTTATGAGCTAAACATATCAATATGATATAAATTAAAGTTTTATTGGGAGATTCTGACTCCTGAAACTGATGAGACACTGCCTGAGTGGACGGACACTCTGTATAGTTATAGAGTGGCGCTTCTTCACAGATGATCTGGTTGAGTACACTGGCGAGACAACGGCCAACAGATTTAACTCCAAGATCACACAAATACACATTTTATTTTATTGTATTCTAAGTTTCAGGTTTTTATATAATTATATGATCGCATTTTATGTTTCAGGCGCTTCTTTTTAACATATAATTATATTATTGTATTTTATGTCTCATGTGTAAGAGATGCTGCCACTAAACAGCAGTTCTAGGTTTATTTGTCACATGCCAAGGTACAATGTGCAGTAAGAAGTGAAATGAGGGTTGGACTCAGCAGCAGGGAGACTGTGTAAAACTGCAATATATATTTTTAATATTATGAAAAATACTGCATATAGTGGGAAATTGCTGAAATTTATGTGATGCGATCAACAGATGGGTTTTACTAGAGAAGACTGTTTTGGTTGTTGGAGCTACAGAAACACTAAGTCCATTCTGATTGTACAGTGGTGTTACAGAGTGATTCTTCTTTACCCTATAAACAATCTTTGGCTTAGTACAGACAGCAGTGTTGTGTCAAAGTCCATTCCCCAGCGGCTTGCACAGAACAATTCATGGAATTTACATTAGTTATGTTAGTCAGTTTATTCGGACACTGTAAATTTCACTTGCAGGGAGGAGCCAATTGACATTAGAGCCATTGTTGTACCGCCATAATTATTTGGTCGCATACAGTAATTACTTCAAGGTCACAGTACAAGGATGGCTGCAATCTGGAGGGTTGTGCTCAGCTGTGATTTGGCAGTTCTGTTTTCCTGTTGTACTGGTGTACAGCAAACCTGTTCATTTCCCTAGTGACGCAATTCCATGCATTGTTTTTCTTCTTAAAGTCTTAGAAAGTACATTTCAGTTAAAGCTCAAGATTCTCTATCACAGAGAAGTGGGAAGCTGTTGACCGCAGTGATCATCACCATTTTCTTTCACTTTCTTTCATGTCGTTGAGTTGGACTAGAAATCAACTCTGTGCTTCAAAACAAGATTAATGGGATGTCACCAGGTTCCGCATAAAGTTTGACTTTCCACAGTCCCACCGCTGGGCGCCTTTCGAGTCTTTCAGTAGTGGTGGACAGAGTCAGCAAGTTTAGTTCACAATGAATGGCACCCTGTCATGTCTGCTATGTCTGTAAAGTCTGTGTGTGTGAATAGGGGGTAATTTTTTTTTAAGGTTTTGTTGCCCCAACAAGATTACAACACTTTAAACAAGCCATGAATGCATAGAGTTGTTTTAGTTTTCTAAAAAATAATATAATAACTTGTCTGACAAATTACTAATGGCCTTAAATATGTGTATCTTACAATAAATAATGATTATGGTTTAAGCAAAAGTGACAAACCATCAAGTTTAGAAACTCAGGAATCAATACAACATGTTCACACTAGAGAATAAAGTTAGTCCAGACAGAGTTTGTGTGAATTTGAGGCCTAACAATAGTTATAACCACTTTAAAGTGGCCTTTTATCAATACATATTGATTTATATAAAGACATTATGAATACATTTTATTACCAAACATGTTTGTAATGAGCAAATGAAGACAGACTGTCCCTTTACACAAACTAGCTTTTAGCATTGAGCCTTAAACAAAAGTGATGGTTTTACATTAACCCTGAAATAGGCCTTGGTACATTTTACAGCATAAAGCTTAAGAGGTGCTTTGAGGCTTTTATGTGAAACACAATGAGGAACAGGTTCATTACAGGCAGTGAGCCATATCATATCTGCTCTACACAGTCAAAAACAAGAGTGGTGCTGAAAGGAGCTTTGAATCTGTGGTTGCTACTCACTTGCATTGCTGTCAGCCAGAGTGTTGAGGTTGCCCGAGATGTCTCGCCTCCTGAACAGACACACCACCTTTGCCTCCACATTCCCATTGGCTGTCTGTAAGTATAGAGTCAGTGGTTACAGGTTAGCATCATAATGAAGCACTGGGTTACCTTCCTGCCGAAAGTCTGAGCTTTTGCTACCCTGACATGGTTAAATTCACTGCTCACACTAACGGTTATTCAGAGGTATTGGAAAGTTACAAATTAAGGTCCAGTGTTATTTACATTTCATACATTTACGATTCATACTGATTCCATTTTCAGTTTGCTTACCAGATTTAATCAGTTCTGATTCTGACCATATTATTTGTGCCAGCCAAAATATATTGCAAGTAAAACCGATAGTGTCTGCCTAACCAATCACTAATCTCAATAGATAGTTCGTACCGGTTAGGGGTTAGGCTGTACTACAACTCTTATTTTCGTAGTTTTGTCAACCATTTCTTTCAGTTACTGTAACATTGTAGTTAAAGAGACCATATTATGGAGGTGTTAGCACACTGTGTGTGCAGCAGCTGCTGTGGTATCCAATTGGGTATCAAGAATTGTGGAATTTTATTGGTGTTGGTACCGACTACCAGATTTCTGGAATCGTGACATCCCTACATCAGACCAGTAGTATCTACCACCATGAGGCAGTGACTTGAAGGTGATATGACTAAACTTTCAACATAAATTACTTTTGTGCTTGAAAAACTGCTCAGTAACAAAGGTACCTGCAACTGAGGACTGTAGTATGTCCATGTTTCAGAGTAACTTAGATCTTTTCACTTGATAAATACTTATTTAAATATTTAAAATGTTTGTCAGAGCTTCAGATCATTTGAATGGTTCCATTCAAGATATTGGAAATAATACTATCCAATATATATTGCGATCTTTCGACACTGTAATAAAGGTCGACTCTCAAACTGAGAAATGCCTTGAGTTGCTTACAGAATCAAAGGTTATTAATGGTTATAAAGGATTACTTGTAAAACTCTATTTCACATTTTACTCACCAGGTTATTTAACCCCTTCTGTGAACATAAAGCAGTTAAAACAGTGTCATTTGACATAAAACCTTTGCGAAATAAAACAAGACCCCAAGTACTAAACTTGCTACTACATTTAAAAATGACAAAACTCCTCCGCCTCAAAAATAAAACACTTTATTTATATCAAATGAAATGTAAACACAGTCTGAAGAATGTAATGCACAAAGCTGCCGGAGACTTTTATCTACACAGTCCAGATCATGTCCCATCTCAAGGTAAAGATTTTTCTTGTTCTGAAGTTGTGTCAGTTGGTGTAGGAGGTTTCAGAGTAGAAAGTCAGACTGGTCATCTTAACTTCCTGTGGATAACTCAAGACGTTCCTGATGCTGCTGACTGCTCTGTTGTCTTCAGGCACTACATCCTCCTGTGATGGTCTCTCTTACTGTGAAGAGAGCAGAAGCACCACATCAAACACAAGCTTCATCATGTCACTCAGATAATCTGTAAAACATGGCAGATTCTGTGTTACTGGTGCATTATACTGTTTCGTCAAGGTACACCTGCAGATAATTTTAGTCTTGAATAAATGAGAAGTATCTGTGGTGATCATTGTAAATATATTGTATGTAATTGTATAGTAGGACAAACAAAATTTGGAATCCCGTAGACTGACCAGAGAAGCAACCTGTTCAGCGTATTTCAGTGGTGTGCAGCAACTTTTCCAGACAGGCTGTTGCTACGCCGAAAAAATTAAGAAAAATGCGACTAAAACAAACCTTTTCTTGACAGTAGCAGTAGCAAATCTCTCTTTAATTCAGGGCCTGTTCTGTCTCATGATTTTGTGCTGCCTGTCTTTCTTGTGCAGACAGTTTCTCTCCTGCATCTTGCTGCTCTCTGCCTGGACATCTTCACCTTGCTGCACTGAAGAATTAGCTTTATTGCTTTGAACTGAGAGTAAACATATCAAATGACACTTCTACGGTAATCTTGGTTAATGGCAAATATTAACCAGACAGACCACACAGTGACAATACAGAATCCTGTATTTTCCTGATTCAATGTTCTGCCTCAAACTTACTGCACAGCGAACCCTTACAGAGTTAAAGATATCAACATGATACTCAAAAGCAAAGAGAATTAAAAGGTGTGGGTATTATGTTACATGGTAAACTGTAAATACATAAATAAATGTCTGTGAAAGCGTTCTTTGCAAAAGAAGTTATTAAAAGTTCATCCACAATACAACCTCTCTCGTCAACGTTGACCAATGTGATTAGTAAGACAACTCATACTTATCTGAGATGACAAATCAGTCTAATTTGCTTACTTTACTTGCTACTGCCGTCTCTTAACGCTTAAGAAGAAAAGAATGTTTAAGAATGTTTTCCAATGCGCAAGTTAACCTTCTACACACATCTGCACAAGTGTATAATAATGTGTGCAATATCATGACTGATCTCAGAACAATGGAAGTGGAGTCAAGGGCAATCACTTGTCTGTAGCTAGCTATAGCTGGTCACCTATCAAAGATCCCAGGTATATCCACAATGCTCATACACAAAAAAAATGCTGCTTCCTTTTTCACTTGACAAACCCAAGCCATTGCCAACAGGACATGGCTGTGCCATGAAAATGACATGAAATGATAGACACCACGACCTACAGTCAAGCTAGCTTCCAGAGACAATAGTCTACTGTGGCCACAAGAGGGCAGTGAATTACATAATGGATACAAACAAACATCAGATCCTTTAGGGGACAGAACACTGGAGAGAGATCCCCTCCACTTCAGTATCATTGTAACTGATGTCTGTTATTAGCTTTAACTGCTTACCTTGCTGAAACTGATGGCACACCACCTCTGTAATTGTGTGATCCTTAAATGTAGCTTTCAAAGTATACTACAGTGTCTATTTCAGTTCAAGGTGAACTGGCAAAGTGACTGACATGTAAATATTTTTCTTTAATTCACATTTTCTAAAGACCACTCCCAATCCTTATGTAGCCTGATGAAAGAGTTTTGTATGTTTATTTTAGTTTTTGTAGTAATTCTAGTGGGACTGACCTATTCTCAGGGCTCCTCCTTTTCCACTGTTAGTACTGGTGCTGCCAACTTCCTCAGTTGGTTGCACCAGCACATGATTTGGTCACATCCTTTTTTTTTTTAATTCCTCAGTGTTGTCCAATTTTAAATTTTCAAGCTTAAACTGTGCTGATCTGGTAACAAGTTTAGAGTTGCCTGGAATGGACGGGTCACACTGCCTACAATACTCATACAGCATAGCATTCCTCTCGTGCCACAACCATGGGTACTGCATTAGCCATTGTGGTTGAAAGTAGTGCTTAGTTGAGCTAAAATGTTTCATATCAATGACTAATCTCATTCTCAATTCATCATCAGGACCGAGATGGAAAGTCTGCGAATGTTAGAAAATCTTGTTTCAGATGTGACATCATAACAGTAAGAATCAGTTTGTCTGACAGAGAATCACAAGTGACATGTTGGTTGAAAGTAGTTAAACATCATGATAGTAAAGTTAGCAACTAATTTATACAGGCAGCCTAACATTAACCACCAAAGGGTCCATGCTCCCACAGCACTTATTAATATTACTTCTAACCTCTGTTTCAGTGCCGCACCCAATGAGACGCCTAGATCAGAGCTAATGTTCCTCTGCGGCTAATACCAATAGCTATCGGAGCAGCTGGGGCTGCTGTCAACTGTGAGTCACTGAAAATACTGACTGAAATTGATATAGGTTTAAAATAATTTGTGAAAACTGAAATGTACAAGCTCATGAGCTAGCAAGTCAGCCTTAGCATGTGTAATCACTTAGTTGCTCAGTGAAACGGTTATGTGCAGGCTATTGATAATAGGTCACAAAGAATGAAGGTTTCACTGACATACTTACAGTTTATGGTTCTGAAGCTGGAGCTGCACATCCTTCAGTAGCAGCCGACAATCCCAGCAAGCAGGCGGGTGATGGCTGCTGAACGCGGTCACTTGGTGGAACGCAGAGTCCAGACAAATATGTACCAATTGTACTGCTGCTGTATGAGCTGCTGTATCCAAAATATGCAAACGATATCCGCTAGTGCCTAAAGTTGCCTTTGCTCCACCGCAGCCACAACAGAAACTCTTTCTTCCAGGCACTGTGGTTGAAGTCCCAGTAAGTTGCACTACATGGGTGTGCTCTGGTGCTGAGGCCTGGAGCGGAGGTTTGTTTATGGATTTCCACAGAGTTCATACATCAGTGTCATGGAGCAGAAAAAACGTTGAACGAAGTTTTCAGAGCAGACTGAAACTCTGGCTTTTGTCTTGCAGGAGGCATTTTATTATAAGTTTGAAGGTCTTCTAGTTTGGACATTTTAACTGTGTTTAACATGGACATCCAACATCACAACAGTATATAAAAGAGAAAAATCACAAAAAGCAGAACATGTTGCCTTTAGCAAGACAACAGTTTAACCATATTATCTGGATTTTATCCTGAACTAAAAATGAATTTTACCCCCCATCAGACTTCTCTCTAGCAATGCTTCCGTGTTACTAGATCTCAGCTATGAACTTGGTGAGCAGGATGTCATTATTATTGATGATGGCCAAAGGCAATAAGAACAAACTGGACTTCCCCTTTAAGATTCCTAAAACAAAGAGAATACTTCTTGTCACTGCTTCACTGTTCAAGTTTTCCACTTTCCACTTTAATGTGAAGCGGCAGCAGCTTCCTGTAGCATCAGTTACCAATATTAGCAACTGGTCAGTTTATTAAACCCTCCTGTTTGTAAAAAAGGGTCTAAATAAAAAGGGAAATGTTTGTCAGCTGTGAGGATGTGTAGTCAGAGGAAGGTGATATGGCCTTAAAGGAATATCATGATTCAGAGTAGTCTTGGTATTTTGTGAATAACCATCTCTATGGCCACATGTTAAAGACGCGTTTTACGCAAGAATCTACTGATGTTAAAATAGACCTTAACTTTAAACTAACTTCAACCCTATGCAGGCCTTATTGGGTGTCCAATGGTGATTATCAAACTAACTTCAGCCTACTGTTTGCTCTCCTCTGAGATTCTCCTCACACAGGTCAGGTCAGTAGATAACTGCGTGATGTTGTTATCAAACTTCTTCCTTCGTTACAACTTGTTCCCTTTTCTTTGAACCAGTTTCTCCAGTTAATATCATGATATGACAAATTTTTATCACATGATTCATACTGGTATTAACATAAACTGTATGATGTGGCACACCTCTAACAGGAGCTTTTAAGGTTAGATGGTGGGTGTTTCATTCTCCTGGACCTGGACTATGATTGACCACACTACAGCACACACACAGTGTTTCCCTCCACATTGCAGCATGAGCCTGGAGAGCCGGTCACTCTCTCTCTCTTACTATCTATTCATTGAGCTCCGCAGCCATTAACACTCAGGACGCTGCAGTCTTCCTGGTGCTCAGCACAAGCCCCTCAATGTAAGAGCATTACATAAATGAGCTTAATCCTTTGACTGGGAAACAAGCCTGTGTCATATGCTGCTGCTGTTATGTAAGTGGCTGCTGTACCAGTCCTGTCGTTACTGAAGCAGTGGTTTACAACAGAGGGAACGAGTGTCTGTGTACAGACGTTGATTTGTTGACTGGACACATGTTTGAAGTCTCCCCATATACAGTTCATTCAGAGAGTGTTCAGACCCCTTCACTTTTTTTCACATTGTGCTATGTTGAAGCCTCATGTTAAAATTGTTCATTTTTTCCAATCAAATCATTAATAAAATCAAATTCCCTTTTCCCTTCAGAAAACTGAATTTTAGAATTTTTTTGCAAATGTATCAAAAAGGAGAAACTGAAATATCACTAACGTAAGTGTTCAGACACTTTGCTCAGGACTTAGTTAAAAGCACCTCTGGCTGTGATTACAGCCTCCAGTCTTCTTGGGTCTGACAACACAACCTTTGCACATCTGGATTTGGGATTTTCTTCGTTCTTCTCTGCAGATCCTCTCAGACTCTGTCAGGTTGGATGGGGATGTCAGTGGACAGACATGTTAGGGTCCAGAAATGTTGGATTTGGTTCAGGCTCAGGACTCTGGCTTGTCTACTCGGGGACATTCACAGAGTCCTTTCTAAGCCTCTCCTGTGTTGTCTTGGCTGTGTGAACCTTCAGCCCAGTCTGAGGTCCTGAGCTCTGGACCAGGTTTTCATTAAAGATCTCTCTGTACTTTACTCCGTTCAGCTTTCCCTCAGCCCAACCAGTCCCCCCCTCCCCCCCATTGCCTGATGCTGCCTCCACCATGCTGCACTGTTGGGATGGCGTTGTTCAGGTGATGAGCAGTGACATGACTCTTAGAACTGAGACCAAACAGTTCAGTCCTGGTCTCATCAGACCAGAGAGTCTGGTTTCTCTCAGTCTCAGAGTGCTTTAGCTGCTTTTATACAAACTGACCCTGAGGAGAGGCTTCGTCTGGACTCTGAGATAAAACCCAGATCAGTGGAGAGCTGCAGTGATGGTTGTTCTTCTGGAGGTTTCTCCATCTCCACGCAGGATCTCTGGAGCTCAGAGCGACCATCAGGTTCTTGATCAAGGTGTAGAAACATCTCAGAGATGATCAAGGGAAATGGAGGAACCTGAACTAAACTAAACTTCAAGAATCACAGTAAACTGTCTGAATACTTATGTCAATGTGGTATTTCAGGCTTTAGTTTTAAAATACATTTGCAAAAATTCATAAAATTCAGTTTCAGTAAGTTTGTAATTATGGTGAATTGAGTGTAGATTGAAGAGGGAAAATGAATTTAATTGATTTTAGCATCAGGCTGCAACATCACAACATGTGAAAAAAGTGAAGGGGTCTGAAGACTTTGTGAATGTGCTGTAGATTTTTATTGATGCCTGCCAGCTAATCAGTATATTTTGTGGTTATGGTGTATGCCGAGAAGGTAGTTGTTATTTGTTAAACAACCTTATAAGTGAAACATGTGAAAGAGAAGTCCACCGACCTTGTTGAGCTCTTCTATTCTGCGGATCAGGTAAGGGTTGCTGGAGGAGTTCTCAAAGTACACATAATCTGGAAGAAACAACAGAAAACAAAGATTTGACATTTCCGATGTGTTCACAGGGGAATACAGAATGCATGACCATACCTCATAAAACTACTGAGTATAATAAATATTCATCTAATAAAAAATTTTACAACAACAGCCCTGAATGCACGGCTGACTGATCCCCTGATAGTTCAGGTTTCCTCTGGACAGACACCTCCACATTTCTGTTATTGAGTCTCATCAGCTCTGTTCGTATTCTGTGGGTGTAGTGGCAGAACTGAAAAGATTTTGCCTAGCCTGATGGATAGGAATCCATTTACCCTGACACACAGCTCTGACTGGAAGCCTGTCCGTACGACACTGAGAGGCTGTTAGGAGAGCCACACGCTGCCAACTCAGTACATGGACTTGTGTAACGTGAACTGCAGGAAAGCTCTCTACCGAAACACAATGAATAATTGTGATATCATCAGCTGATCTGATGTGTAAGGTACAGTTAGAGGCTGGGGTTAGAATCACACATAAGTCATAACTGCAGGGTGTTACCCACAGCATGTACTTGTGCCAGTGCTCCACTCTCTCATTTTCACTTTTATCCTCAAAATATTTTTCATTCAAATATACTTTCTAGATCACAGGTTTTAAATATTCAAATGAAGCAAAAAAGTACAAGAAAGTACAAATTGGAACAATTAGTCAGTCCCTCCAGGATTTTGCTGGCATTTTTTGGGTTTGTCGCGGGCTAAAATGCCTGATTTCGTGACAGCTTTTCTTAAATATTGTGTTGAAAGTTGCAATGTTTTTAGATGTTTTTTTTGCAATGAAACTGCAGGATAGGGATGTTTAGGAATTAATCGTTTAACCACTAACTGACAATAAGAATTTTGACCGATTAATAAAATCAGTTTTACAATTTAAAAAAAAAATGTATAATGTGGGTGGATTGAGAGACAATCCACCCACATTGAATACTAATCCTCTTGACTGGTGGAAAGCTAATCTAATGCGTTTCCTGAGGCTGGCCACTCTAGCAGGTGTTATCTCTGCATTCCTGGGACATCGGTACCATCTGAGCAGCTATTCTCCACCAGGGGTCTGAAAGTTAACAGACTATACACCAGACCAACCCAACAGAATGTCAACATGTTGCTATTTCTGAACAAAAACCAGTGGACAAGCTGTCCGCTATGCTGAGGACTGAGGTAGACCTACCCTGTTTATTTTATTAAGAGGTCTGAAAAATTCAACTACAAGTTTACATTTTGTTCACCTGTTGGAAGTTTTTGATCATTAATTAGCCGGAGGAGGAGGAGGTTTTCCTTACAGCGCTCTCGGCACTGGAGAATTCCATGTGTTTTGAATTTTGTTAAACTGTTTATACATTAGAAAGTCTGGCTACTATTTGCCATTTATTTTATTTATATAATATTTTCCTACATGGGAGATCTAGGCTATTATGCCAGTTCTGCACATGTAAAAATAAATCCCTTCTTATGAAAAAAGAAAAAAACATTTTCTAATGGGTCACAGACACTCGACCATTCTAAAAAGTACATTTTAATCTTGTCAGTTAATGGTTAATGGTTGGTTAATGAGCGTCGGCTATTGGTCAGAAAAAAAAATTAAAAATGAGCATCCTTACTGCGGAATAAAAATTGCAAAAATTTTCACTATCTTTTTTTTTGTATAATTTATTAGAAATCGAAGGCTACTTGTACCAGTGAGATTAAATGCAGTGAAGTGCAGGTGGTGAAAAAAAAGAGAAAAGAACAAACAGCTACCCTCCTCTGCTCCGTCTTAAAAACCAGAAACAAGGAAGGTTTGGTGACGTACATCAAGGTTTTGATCAAATTTGCGGAAAAGTTGCAGTGATTGGACAGAAATGCAATGTCGCGCACAATTCACAGGGATTGGTTGAATTTGCATTAATTATTGCGATTGCGACATCGCGACTTTCTGGAGGGACTGATTATTGTGGCTCTTGGCCCCTTTCACCTCAACAGTATGTAATCTTAAAAGTATATATATGTAGTATAAAGGTAGATGTCCAAGTGTTGTATGATTATAAAGCAGGTCTAGGTTCTATATTAATCACATGAAAGTATCAAAGCGCTCAGTCCACAAAGAAATGCACACAGCCTGTATTCAGAAACTGAGCATTAAAACCAGTTGTTAGGACCTCTGGAACTTGTGATGTCACAACAAAACAGTCAATGCCCTCAGCCACACCTCAAGCCCCGCCCACCTGGACCCACCATCCAAACCTTGCAGGATTTGGTTTCGCTTAGTGTTTACCTGAAATCTGCTATATTTTTTGTGGATCACTCAGAAAAGACTGAGGCTCAGAGCCTCCTCTCTTCTGATTGGCTCACCGACCTTTTGTTACTAGAGCTCCAGAGAGCAGCCTGAGAGAGGAGATGTAAAACTACAGTGAGATGGTTTTTGGTTCTTAAAACCACAAATATATCTTCTTATGGATCAACACTTCAAATCAAAACACAGTAGAGGAAAATATGGAGCTTTAAAAGGTGACCACAGTCCAAAGTGGCTGCAGCAGGAGCCTTCAACAAGTCAAGACCAAATGTCTAAACCTGCAGGTCCCTGAGGCTACATGTCTTTGTCATGTCATGCTATCTTGAATACATTTTGTATACAAAATGTCAAAACAGCTGGCCAAGGTCAGCCAGGAGCAAGATATGAAAATAAGGATACAATTTTTAAAAAACATCAAAATTTTAAATCAAGCCTCATTATTAGCGATTTTTTTTTTCACCTATGAAACAACCTTCTCCCCTACATTCATCATCATTTGAAAAATGAACCTGATAGCAACAGAGCAGTCACTTTGGATACGAGGACAGATAGATAGTTATCTTTGTGTTACTTTGCATCACTTTGCAACAAATGGGAGCTGCTGAGCGAATACTTTATACATCTGAAAGGGAAATTACATCACACAAAATGACAGATAACCTCAGACCAGCCTTGCTTAAATACAAACTGGATGAGTTTTACAGTGACTGTGAAGTCTGTGTTTAAGAGTTTAAAAACCAACTGTTTGAATATACATCTGTTTCTTCCACAGTATGCTGAATCAACAAACAAATATAATACGTTATGTATAAGTTATGACAGTTTAGATGTCTGTGAACAGCGAGGGATACCAATCTGTGGCAGATCATTGGTCCCCTCTGTTTCAATGCTCCCTTAAAGCAGCTCTAATGTCAGCCCCTCCTGGATTACTATGCTCAGGTGATGCCTGAACAGGAGGCTGGATGTTTACATGTCCCTCTGGGTGCTCCTCTGTGAAACTGTCAACATGTTCCTCACAAATGTTATGAAGCACACAGCAGGTCAGAGCCATGTGCTTGCAGTCGTGTCTTTTTAGGAGGCGACTCTATTGTCCTTTAAATCTCCACAAATGATTGTGCACCGCCCAGCCTATAATTGTGAGTGTGTTGCTCAGGATGTCTGAAAAGGGCTTTATGAGCCAATTCTGTATGGATTGAGATGACCAGCCAAGCTGTCAGCCATCAAGTAATAGTCACTTTATTTTGTCTTAGTAGATCTCTGTCACATAGGACGCCCCATAAATGTGACTGTCTGCTTTTGCATCATGTACACTCTCTGGATATCCTACATCAAAGAAAAGACCTTTGCCATCCACAACTACCTGCAGAACAGTTGAATACCATCCTCTCCTGTTGTAATAGTCTCGATGAGACTCTTCTGGTGCCATTATTGGAATGAGGCTCCCATCTGTTGCAACAACACACTGTGGTGCTCTCCAATGATGATGGAACAAAGTGGTCATTTCTACTGACTTGTCAGAAATGTTGACAGGAGACAGCACCATGATGAATGTGCTGCAGAAATCCTGAACACAACTAAACACAGTGCTCAGGCCTAACACAAAGAGAGGGCTGATGGTCCTGTATTCACTGCCGGTGGCCAGCTTCCAGATGGCAATTTCGACCGACTTTCGGATTGGGATACACAAAAGTGTCTTCCCTCATGTTCCTTCTCCTCTTGACATCACCCTCACCCAACCACAGATGTACATGACTCCCGGGACTCCCCGGCCCCAGCCTACACATCATGCTCTGCAGATGTAAAGGCACATGCTTGTGACTGCAGCAAAAATTACATCGTCATTTTTAGGTTTTTTTCAATGGAAATGAAATGCAAAATTACCATTCCCGCTAACATTGACTCATCGCAAAACCTGAAACAATCACAATGTCGTTGTCATCGTTCAGCCCTACTATACAGTGATGTGATGACGTAGCTCTTTAGCCTGAAAAAAAGCAAACTGATTCCTAGAAGGTCCACAAGTTGAACCAGCTCCAAACCAGCACCAGAACAGACCAGACCAGACCAGACCTAGGAATTAAGTTGTTCAATGCCCCAGATTTGCTTAAAGTTGATTGCTGAAATACAAATACTGTAGAATCTTAGGCTATTTCCACACCACAACACCTTAATGTTAAGGCAGCGTTTCAAAATGAAAAAGACGACCCTTTAGTTCCGTTTGCGAAACGATCTCTGTCCAGACTATCACACCTGAAAACATATTTACATATACATGACTAAACATGTACACTGGGCATATGCGAGCCAGTGTAAACAGGAAGCAGATCGTCTTCTCTGCATTTCATTGGTTGCAGAAAATACTACGAACAAGTGTTAAAATGAAGAATTTAACAGAACAACTGTTAGCAAAAACAAGGTCAGTAACACTTGTAAATCATTATTATGTTGTATTCACGGTGGCCGTGTGTCTACGTCATAGTTTCCCAAGGTGACCCAATCTACAACACAACCCTGAAGTTTTCAAACTAAAACAGGTCCAGCAGCATTTCCAAAAGTCTCAGTTTTAAGGCTTGAAAACTCTGGAGTAGTGTGGATGACAGGAGTAAATGTAGCAAAGTGATGAGTTTTTACACCAAAATGTAGTAGTGTGGATGAAGCCTAAAATGTGTTATGGGTAGGTTATTTTATGACAGAATAAAACTCAACCCAA